AACAGCCGAACATCAATTAACAAATCATAACATAAACTAAACTTTAAAACAGAGTCAAACTATAAATCATTAAGAATTACTTCAATTAAAAACCCAATTTCTTTAGAACATATAATTACCATTATGAAGTTCTTGACATTATCATAATTAGGAGAAAAACAATAACCAAGTGTTCAAAACAAGATCTTGCCACGGGGAAAAAATCACTCATAAACAGTCGAACATCAATTAACAAATCATAACATAAACTAAAATTTAAAACAGAGTCAAACTAAAAATCATTAAGAATTACTTCAATTAAAAACTCAATTTCTTTAGAGAATATAATCATCATTATGAAGTTCTTGACATTATCGTAATTGCGATATAGGAAAACCGTACCCCTTCAACATTCTGAGCCATTAACCAACAGAATGTGCCAAGAATTGAACAATTGAAACCTCTCCTTCAAATCATTACCATTCTAAGTCTAAAACGATGACCAAATAAAGTAATTAGAACATGGCAAACCTAATAGCTCGCAAGCTTGTTGAACACGTTGAGCCGGCCATTGGACATTGAGAGGAAGCTCCAGCAATTTCTGCCAGAACTCTGACGAGAGAGGGAAGGGCTGGTTATCGACTAAAGTTCCGATCAGATACTCCGCCGTCTCCGGAGAGAATGTGCCACTCTTGCGCGGCGTTGACGGCACCGACCCCATTCGAAGAAATAAGGGTTTTTTCCCGCGATGCGGTCGTCGCTACTTTGTGAAATCTCGTGGACTCTAATTTGGTGTCAGATTCAGGGCAACGGCATTGCGCGAAAACAAGCGGAGAGATCAAAAGGATTTGATCCGAAGGAAAAAACAGAGGTAGATTTTTAAAATCTCGAGAGCTAGTGAAGGGAACACAGAGAGTGTAGAAGGGTGAAGAACGGCAACAACGACTAAGAGCTTCCGAACGAAGGTTTTGCAGAGAAATTAAGGTCTTGTTTGGATGTTTACGCGTTTTGCGTTTTTATTTGGCGAAATCGTACTTTTAAATTGTTAAAACCCAAACAGGATACATTTTACTTCCGACAAAATACAAATATATTTTTTCTTCTTTTAATTTTATAAATATCGTCGCTAATAAGACAAAAAATAGTAATAAAGTATCGTATTCAAATTTTCGTCCCCATTTTGTCGAAACAAAAAATTAGTATGGAGATTTATGTTTGATATGAAAATGTAAAAGATCTGAAACCTTGTTAAAGCTCCAATTATCTTAATCACGTATTATGGCAGATAATAAAACTTAATATTAATAGAAAATAAAACATTACGGCGATTATTTTCATGATGCAATGTGCATTTAGCCTAATGCTTGACTATAATCCAATGCGGTTCCGCCTGATTGTGTGCCAAACATGTGAGTGGAACACTGATAGTAAATTAAACACTTCATGTGATGTATTATGGTGTGCACACACAAAAAACATAATAAATAACATAAAAAAATATTTTAGTGCATAAATATGTATTAGATTCGTATTTCGAATATGCTCGATAAAAAGTATTCATAATTAAAAACTAGGCTTCTTTTAATATCATGTACTTTTGTTATGTATAATAAGAAAATGAGGATACTGAATGACTAATGTTTAATATTTGTAGTCACGTTTAAATGTTATAATAATGATGGCTGCATATTTACTTATTAAATTATTTTATTGTGATTTTTTTTAGTTTTGAAGAATTTAATATTTTTTATGCTCTAAATTGGGTTTATTTTGTATTTTTATATCATTTATAGGATTTTGATAGGTATGGGTATAACTTTAGTTTCTATTTCTTATATAAAAATGTTTAAATAAATTGAATCTCTATTCTTCACCAGTATGGTGTTATACACTGATAACTGAGATTCAAGGTCACATTTTTGTAGAATAATCATTTATATTAATGTGTTTGCATCCTAAATTTTTGCAAACAAGCAACATATTTAAATCCATGCAATATAGAGTGTGTGATAATATCTTAAATAATCAACCATATAACAGAAGTTATTTTTTTTAATACTGTTTGTAAAATAATAAATTTCTAAGAAAATAGTGAAGTTGAAACCCAAAGCTGATTAATGCCATTAAAAAATGTTAATGAATAATTAATACGAAAGAAAACAAAGTTTTATTTTAAAATGTCAAAGAATGACAAGTGACTGGGTCCATTTGCTGATTTTTGTACTATTCCACTATTAGTTGCCACGCGTATATATAATAATAATTATATAATTTATTTAACCTTTTTCATTTGATGTCCGTCACCGCCATAGTTATTATTATTAATATGATAGGAAATTAAAAGAGAATAAGAAAAAAAAATTGTTTATTAGTAACACTGGAGAAAAAATTTCATTGAATTTTCACATTAGACATATTAATCGTTTATCTTTTTCTTAATTTTGTACTAATGATATTTATAGAAATTATATAAATTCTAAAACATTTTTTTATAAACAGTAGAGATTATTAGAGTATATATTAATTTTGAATACATTTTTTCCACAGATAATAAAGTTTGAGGTATTGGGTGTTGGCGGATCCGATGATGGATGGAAGTGTCAACAAATGCGGAAATCAATGCTGCCTTCGCTTCAACATGCTCGCCATTCTATAACATATTCATTGTTTAATCACCGTTTACTTTTCTCAATTATTTAGATTTTTCAAATGTTTTAAATTAATTATTATCAACTTTTTAATAAAATAATCACAGTTTTATTTTGATACTGACATATTGTTCTAAACAAATAATACTCACCAATTTAAAATGCTTTTATTGTCAGTCCCCGAAATATTACATGAGAAAAATATTATTCAATCATCATTCTGTAATACTATGAGTTCAGTTTTTGCAATAGCCAAATTCAAGATCTTTAATTAAAAGATAAAAAGTTATTTGGCCTGGGTCACAAGACAAGGTCAGAGTATGAAAAAATTTAAGATTAGTCATAAGAATTTCGAAGATTATGAAGATACACGTGTCCTGCCACCAACACTGCTCATCCATGTCATGTGGAACCTTATCACCAAGACAGAAAATTGCAGCAAGCAACCTATGCAATTCGAGGGCGACAATACCTTTTCAAATTTTTTTCCACTAAAGGAAATAAATTAACATTCTTCAAAGAATTTCACTTCCATATATTGTTATCACTGTTACATGTGCTTCGTGTTGTTACGCATGTGACTCACATGTGATAATCACCTTTTACTTGCAATATTAATATACGCTAACTAATTTTTTTAACTAACATTTCACTAATTATTTTTAATACTAAAAAATATTATTAATAAGGGAGTACTTCAATCCATTACAACATATCACATTGTTTACAAACAGTTGAAAAAACTTCACTACAACAAAAGTCAGCGCTTCGATTTAAAGGAACTTAAAACAAACTTAAAAGTAAAACCCTTTTATTTACTAGTAAAAAAATAATTTATGTTATTATGTATTACTAGTGAAGAGATCTAAGAATAAAACAATTTTACTAATAAAACAATTTATTGTAAAAATTAATAGTCATTTATAACAATTTAATTAAATTTATTCTCAAACATAAGTTTATAATTAATATAATAAAATTATAATATTAAAAAAATTGTAGAATTTCCTTTTCTTTAAAGACCTAAAATAAGAACTTGAATTTTATGAACCTGAATGTGATATTGAACTTGATGATATATAATTTCTGTGATAACTTATTAAAGAAATTTGTCTTCTAAAACATCGAAATTTATAATATAAAAGAAATTCACATTACTTTTGTTTTATAAAATTTTATTTTTATACAAGTTTATGTTAAAAAGTATCAAATATTCTATTGATATATATATAATAAAATTAAATATTGTATTAGTTATAATTTAGATATTATTATAATGTGTACATATTTATATTTCTTTTGGTAAGGAAGAATTATAGGATTCTTTTATATATATATATATATATATATATATGGTACTTTACTCATATAAGAATTGTTCTTTAAACCTTTTAACATGGTATCAAAGTCAGGTTAGAACATATCCTAGCGAGTTTGTTAGGCATATTGTTCCACCCGTTATCGGATCACCCATTAATGTTTAGTCTAACACTCGAGATATATATACCTCAGTGTGAGAGTGAGTTGAAAATCCCACCTTAACTAGAGACAATGTCAATTTTATAATATCTCCTTTTGTGAGGTTGAGTTAGGCTAAAATTTCACTTCTTAATGTACCTTAATAATTAAGAAAGTTATTATAAAAGAATATTGTTTGATACATATAAATTAACATTTTTAATGGTAATAGGTGACGAGACACAAACATATATAATTTTGTTTTAATAAACACTCATTCAATACTATTAATGTAATGTTTTTGTTCTAAATATAAAACAATTTAAAAAGAATCAACTAAAAGTTAAAAGTAATTTTTTATTAAGTATTTCATAAGTATAGAAAAATTGAAGAGGGTTGATGCGAAAATTTTCGTGATGATAACATAAATAAATTGACTAATATTGTACTCGAGATTATGCTAGGAAAAAGATAACAAAACACTACCACGCTTGAAAGTTTTTAAACTGAATTAAAATATTAAGAGACATATATACTATACTACACTATATAATGTTCAATATATTTTTTTTTTCACATAGGATAATAGATTTAATGTCTCATGAATATAGTAATGTGATTTTATTTTCTTAGTCACAATTTTCTTTAGTTGGTCCTTAAAAAAGAAAAATTCAAGTTGCAACCCTACCTTGTAATAATTGTATGAAATCATATAAGTAGCTAAACAAGAGAGTTTCTCCACATTTCACTGAGATATTAACTTGAAATAAATTTGACATACAATAATTGAGAAAACCACGAGAACAACCACCCTTTTGCTAACTGTCATCAAAAGGAGTCCATTTCTTGATAAGCTGCTGCTTTAAATGTGGACCAATAACATATTGACAAGAAAGTCAGTTTAGCATCTCAGTATCAATACAATAACTGGTTAGAGAAGTGTATGTATCTAAAAGTAATTAACTAAGGAGATCTTGGCATTCAATGAAGCAATGGAAATGCAGCAACCCTTTACAATCTCCTATTTGGAACTTGAGGCCAAATAACCAAGTTGCTGAGCCAATACATCTACACCCATTACACCTTGTTCTTCAATGCCCTCATTCAGCAAATCTTGCCAAAACACTTCATCAATATCTTTATCCATACTTTCAACTTGAACATAATCTCCCTCCATTCTCTTCTGGCTTCCAATTTGCTCCCCCAGATTCAAACCAAGGTCAATATCTGGTACCTCAAAATCCAACACTTGTGCTTCAAGTTTAACCAAACTTGAGTACTCTTCACCGCAAGCCAACTCTCCTACTTCAACAACATTACTAGGCCCTTGATCAAGACACCTCCTCTTCTTAGAAAAAGCTTCCTTGAGCTCCTTTCTAAGCTCCTTTTGCTGAACCAATTGTTGCACGAAGTTGGGATTCTGCATTGCCCTGGCTAAGAAATTCATCGTCTGCTGCTGTTTCTGCTCAGTCCTTTTAAGCCTTCCTTCCATTGCTTGAATGTGAACTCTAGTATTCTGTTGCTGTTGTCTGAGTTTCACCAACTCCGCCATAAGAACTTGCCTGTCACGCTTCAACCTATCGACTTCTCCATCTAATCCAAACAGCCCCACCTCAACACAAGGATCCACCGCTTGCTGCATCGCATGAGATTGGTGATTTGTTTTCCGCCTTCTAATGCTCTTCAGAAGAATCCTTTGCCCTCTGAGAAACATCTCATTAGCAAACTCCCACTTATCTGGATCAACCTTTTTAAACCCCTACAGTCATGCCAAATTCCTTCTAATTCATTTTCAAATCTATTAAAAATACGGTCTTATAATGGTTTGACAAACGCATGTATCTATATATATGATCGATAAAACTCTTTACCTAACCACCTATAACGCCTTAATATGTTAAGATGTAACATCACTGCAAACTAAAGGTGAATATCAATACTGTCTTGTATCGTTTTATGCTGCAACTTTTCTACCTTTCCTTTTCAAGAATAATAATAGGGAAGTGGGGAACCTAATTAAGAAACACAAAAAATCGAGCCCAACCAAACCTACCAGTGCCAAATACGATAACTGAAGATGGAAGAATTAATACCAACACATCAATTATTCATGACAAGGAAGATGATTAAGGTTATATCGTTGCATGTAGAAGCAATCCATAGTGAAAATAACATTTCATCTGACCACAGTAAGAAAAGCTAGCTAGAAGTAGAATAAAATATACATCATAATATTGGATGATTGGTAAGTAGAAAGAGGTGTTACTGACATAGGTGTTGAGTTGCCGGACAAAACTGGAGAAATTGTTGTGCTTGAAGAATCTGGGCAAAAGGGTCACGGAAAAGGCCTGTGGATCCCACACAATGAAGCTATTATTCCCCTTGCTCCAGGAAATTATATGGTCAGTGGAAGGGTCATCAACAATGTCGTACGTTTTTGTTAGGAATGGCGGAGGACCAGTTTCATGAAGCCCCTTAACCGGTTGAGGAACAATCATTATCGGGGGCGGATCATAGCCACCATAAAAGGAAGAACTTTCTCCAAGAAACTCTTCCTTCACTCGACCTTGAGGATTCATGTTGGAATGTAAGTAGAGCTCAAGCTTTGATCTAGCAACGTGAAACAAAGATATGGGCTTGCCTTTGACCTTTTTAATTATAGCTATGGAAGGAGGAACACCAACAGGGATTATGGGAAGTAGAAGAAATTTACTATAGTTGTCCACCTCGTATATATGTTCGAAAAATAAAAATGAAATGTTGTATCTTGAATCTTGACAGGAATAGGATTGTTGTTATAGTGAAAGAAGTAGGGAAGCAGTGCAGTTAAAGTATTGATAAAGCAATTTGGGTGATGAGGTTTGAATAGGACAAAGTGAAAAGAAAGAACAGGTGTATTGCCATGGAATTGGGTATAGGTCATTGAATGTGGACTTTGGATGATGTTATGGCATGATGATGGGAAGGAAAGTTTGGATGGGAGCGACGTGGAGGAAGGAGAAGCAAGTACAGTATAATATTATAATTTGGTGTTCTTTTCCCTTTTCGCTTTTTCTTTTAGGCTGATGTATTATTATGAGTCATATGCCTAATGGAGAAGGTAAAGTAGATGGCAAGGGAAATCTAACACAGTTTTTTTTCTTCTCTGATTCATTATGCCTGTTTTTGTTTATTTCTCCTTTGGGAAAGCCCTTGTGTTGCATTAATTAGTTTAGTTGAGTGACCCAAAGAAGAGGCAGAAGAAGGATAAGATATTTCAACATTAAAATATAGAATTCCCTTTTTCTTTTCTTTTCTTTTCTTTTCTTTTTTGTCAACGCGTAGGGTAGTGAAGTGGGACACCGCCACATGTGAAAACCAAGAACTTACCAGACCCATTTACTTTATAATTTCTTCTGTTTGATTCTGTCACCTGTTGTCACCTTTTTATTTCCTCTTCTGTGTGGTTTGCAGGTGTAGCTTCTTCAGTGGAGGAATTTCCATGGCTTCCATTTTATGAGCAGTTTTCCCTCACCTCCCAACACACTAAAAGAGAGAAAATCATCCTTATTTGTACACTATTTTTAATTTATTTTCACTTCTCTTAATCAAAATCATTTTTTATATATAAATAAGCTTTATATCTCAACCAATCTTTTTTTGTAATTGTTTGAACTTACGCCTGTGTATTGAGAAATGTAATTATTTCTTGCTTTCGTATTAGGTCGACCAATTAAAATATAAAATTATTTATTTATTCTAAGAAGATTCGCCTACACAACCTTTCTGCCAGAATGATAGGTCAAACAGCTAACGTTAAGGTGCACGATATTTTTTTCATTTCGCAATCCTAATAGATGTGCTTGTTTTCGGTACAAAAGGTGATAAATAAAAATAGAGGAATTGTTTCGCCTTCTAGTTCTGAAAATAAGAAAATGAAAAATCAAATTATAGATTTTGAAAAAAATAAATAAACACATCTTGGTGATAAGACATTTATATTTGTTTGGTTTTACACATTTTTCTAGTATTGGAGTTTGGTCAATTCTCAATTCTGAGCCAATGATTCTGAAATCCAGAGACGTGTGATTTTTAAATTTGATGTAAAATTATCTTTTTTTTTCAGTTTAGATATTTTTTTCAAACTTCAAAATCGAATAATATAAGATGTTAATTTTTTGTTGTTTAACATATCTAATATATTTATTTTTTAAATTTAAAAACTAAATTTTACCAAAATTTTATATAATAACGAATTCAAAATTCATATATTTAAGTTTAAAAATTCAAATTATATTTAATTTTAATTTTAAAATTTTACTAAAATGTATTGCAGTTTAAAATCTTCACATCATTATAAATATTTTTTTGTGAAATAATATATCATAAGACTATTAGATTTTTATGACAATTATTCTAAAATCATTTTGAAAATAAAGACAGTGTTGTGTTGTGGGTAGGTTGCCAGAATAAACATCTACCGAAAACAATACTATTTTATTCCAATACATCTTTTATTTTATTAATATAATTATTTATTATTTATTCGATCATAGCGCCACATTCACGGGACTGCACCTACTCTCCAAAATAAATTAAATATATTTATGATTTTATTTTTATCAAATATTTTAGTAGTTTTATATTAAAATCATTCGAAGAAAGCCTAAAATAATATAATTTTTATTCTTATGTCTGTCCAAGAGAGCAAGCAGACTCCAATAAATGGTAAGTAAGATAGCATCCATATATTTTTACGCTACATGGGATCAATTTATCTAATTAGATTAATATTCATTGAAACCTATTAAATGCTCAAACATGCTAATCTTTTAAATTAAACAAATACACTTAAATATGCAGTTTTAAATAAATATTTTAAATATTACTTTATCATATTTGTGTAAGAAACTAAAAAATAGAGTATTAGATAAATCAGTGTACTAAACTAATGAGACGAGCAATTTTAATTTAAAATAATCTTATAATATAAATATAACTTTTTAAAGCTCGATTCATTATCTAAATACAATTCATTTCTCTAGAACATTATTCTTCAGAGTTCTTTGACATCTTTCTAGAGTTTCTCTCATTTGAACTGTTTGATTGACGATCAGGAGGTGCCCAAACGTTCACGAGGTAGAGGGTTACACAACTGATCGATCAATTTCTCGATTCTAGCTAGTAAGCTGTTTTCCCCTTTTCACCGTATGTTCTTGGGTCAAGATCATGCGAATTCTTCTGTTGCATGTGTTTTGTAGTTTTGTTCTTAAGTTCCTAGTTCAATTCAAGCTCTAAGAGATGTTCTCTGTCACCAATTGATGAGTTGTAGGTTTCTGTTGAGTTTCCTTGCGGTACAAGGTACTGTTGGAGTGATTCTGTGAGCTGGGCAGTTTATCTCTAAGGTAAGGGGAGCTAGAAAATTTCTTTAATTTGTGTAATTTTTTATGTATGTTTATGGAAAAGAAGATCCTTGAGTTATTTGAACTGAAATTATGTTTTGTGGTATATGAACAATATGTGAAATGATGAATTTGAATGAATTGCATGAATTGAGATTCTGGACTGTCTTAAATTATGAATTAATCTGTTTTAGTGGTATAAAGGTTGGGAATCTATGAAAGGAAAGTTGTACCGAGGTTGATTGATTTTAAATGACAGTAGGTTGTCTTTGTTTAAGTCATTATGAGGAAGTGGAGTAGTGAAAATGAGAATTTGAAGTTAGAAGTTGTTTTGGTTTGTTGGGATAGCTTTAGTAAGTTATATGTGAATTGTTCGAGTTATCAAAATGGTCAAAAACAGGTTCAAAGTGGTAGATTGGAATTTGGGTCCCTAAGTTGATGAATTTGATGTTTTAGAGTAGGAATTGGTTCATAAACACCTTAGATTGATGTTAGGAAGGTTTAGAATCACTTAGTCAAGTCTAATTAAGTTTATAAAACAATCTAGAGGTGTTTGAAGTTGGGAAAAATAGTTAGAATTGGTAATTGGTGGTTGAGTTGCATAATTTTGCAGAATTTCGTTTTGCAGATTATGCAGACTCGCTGTGCGAAAGGATTCGCTTAGCGAGTCACCCTGGTGAGATGCTCTCTGCGAGGACATTCGCACAGTAAATGGGCGCGCTGTGCGAATGGTTCGAGAGGTTTGCTCTCTGTTTGATGATCTGCATGGCGAATTAGGATGTTGTGTGACTGATTGGGTCTGGAACTATTGCTAATTTTATTCGAATAGCGAATAGGTGCGCTCTGTGAGTGTTTAGGGAGTCTGTGCTACTGCCTGGGGCTCTCGCATGGCGATTTGGGGCACTATGCGAGGGGTTTGGGTATGATACAATTAGAAGTTTATTTGCATAGCAAGTTTAACCGCTGTGCGAATGGTTCTAAAGGGGAGTCTGTTTGAGGATTCGCACAACGAGTTGGGTCGCTGTGCGAGATACCTGTGGATTCGCTCTGCGAATGTGTGCGTTGTGCGAATGGGCCAGGTTTAGTTCACTCTTTTCTTTTTGTTTTAAGTTGTTTTAAATGAATTTTTGAGTGTTTTATGAAGTATGTTTGAGTTGTCTTACATTACATCATTGATTATTGTTATGAGTTATGTTCCAAAGTGAAAGTTGGTGATTTCAAAGTATGGTTGATGGATGTAATTCCATGAACCTCACGGAGAGGTTACATGGTGGTACCCTATGTTGTAATCCAAAGTGAACTCTCTTGTTAAGATTCGAGTATGTTTAGAATGAATGCAGGAGCTCAGTCTTGGGGGTTATCCTGAAACTCCAATGGTCTTTCATTCTCAAGTAGAAAGGATTGATCCATGTCGTGAGGAATAGCAGGAGATCTTAGTCTTGGGGACTTTCAGTATGCTCCAAGGCGTGGTACAGACTAACCTCGTGAGTGTAGTAAGGTGAAACCCATTGGCAATGGCTTTGCAAAGCAGTACAAGCCACCACAAGTGCATGACCTGCCATAGCTCGGTAATCATTCTAAATCCGGACAGTCAAAGTCAGTGTAGTGTCATGTATGAAGAGTTTATATGATGTGAATGAATATGTATGATTGTATGAAACTTAGTAACTGAATATATGATTAATCTTGTTTAAACTAGCTTACTATGTTGTGTGTTTGTGTCTTGTTTGTATTGGTGTTCTTTCTTTTGCAAGGATCATCTTATGGATGTGAGCAGAGGGAGATGAGGTATCCCTGGAACAGACATTGGATGAAGATGATGCTGCGAAGTAGTTAGTTTAGTTAAATGTTGTAGATAGTTTTGAGTATCCTAATGCACATATATAAAGTTTTAAATTTATAGTTATTTTTGGATAACTGTAAAGAGAATAGTTTATATTCTAAATGGACAACTGTTCTACCTTATCATGTATGTGATGATTCTCTTCTATAGTTTATACTGTATTTTGAAATATTACAATTTCCACCATCTTTATTAAACACTTTTTAAAATTAAAAATTTAATTTAATGATACTTTTAAAGTTAGTTCTCTAAAACGCTATAAAATAAATTAGATTCAATAATAATTGAAACAGAAAGAAAAGAAAAAGAAAGTCAAGTGTAAGATATTTGGCTTTTACACGCACTAATTTTAAAATAAATAAATAATAATGTAACTGAAATAGGTGAAAAATGTTAATAATTTGAGTAAAATGTAAGCTTTACACATTGCTGAACATTAAAAAAGAGACCAGTAAAGGAAATGCAGGGGACACGTGGCCAAACTTTTTGCATCTAGAACGGAAAGACACCTGTAAGCCCTTAAGCAATATTTTAGTCTAATTAATAATTATAATATTAAAGATTAAAGATCTGTGTAGAAGCACGTAGAATATACCCGACCCACCACAAAGGAAATGAAAGCTCAGTCACTCAAAGTAACAGGCCTTTTCTTTTTCTTTTGCCTGGTCTAAATTCCTTTATGATAGGACGTGAATATTATTTTATCACAGTTAGTTTAAAAACTTAAATACCATGAATGCAGGATTTCTTATCAAAATTTCTACAAGTTAAACACGATACGAATGTATTTCTTATTACTTCTGCTAGAAAACTTTCATCAAATAAAACCATTGATATTTCTGCTATTTTTTTACATTTTTTAACATATTATTTATATGTTTATACTGTCCTAATCACCTCCTAATTAACTACAAATTCCCGAGCTCACATAATAAATCTATAAATAATGCAAAATTAAATTCTCGAACCTCCTTCTATACATTAGACAAATACAATGAAAAATGCAAATAAAGAAACGTGAATCAACGGTTTTTGCACCAAACTAGGCATATTTGCCTATAATATTACCAAAATGGGCAAATTCAACCAAATTTACGAAAATAGGGAAGTCGTGGGGGCCCAAACGACTTCAAATGAATAAGTCGTGCCCCCTGCACGACTTCACACTGTTCATAGCAACAGTGTTGAAGTCGTGCACTCCAAAAACGACTTCAAGACTTTGTAATCAATTACAATGTAATGGTAATCGATTACAGAGTGTTGAAATCATGACCACCCTGCACGACTTCAAATTTGTATGCCACCAAAAGCACTGGTAATCGATTACAAAACATGTGTAATCGATTACCAGGTTGTTTTGGTGCAAGGCAGAAGAGGACACTCGTCCAGGCAGAAGCGGACTCTCGTCCAGGCAGAAGAGGACGCTCGTCCAGCCAGGCAGAGAGAACGCTCGTCCAGAAAGCTAAGAGAACGTTCGTCCATCTAGCTAAGAGGACGCTCGTCGAGATGCGCTCAGTGGACGCTCGGCAAGAGAAGTGGACGCTCGTCCATTTTCAGTGAACGCTCGTCCACATACAGATCGTCCGTGCCCAGACGCGAGAGAGGGGCGCCGGGCGCGATTTTTCTAGAAAGTTTCACGCAAGAGTGCTTCTTCCAACATAACCCACCTGGTAATCGATTACCAAAATGGCGTCATCGATTACCAGTACGTTTTCTGCCTTCACATTTCCAGTCTTGCAGGGGTCAGGATTTCAACATTGTGTAATCGATTACCAAAAAATGGTAATCGATTACAGGACCCAGAAGTCGTTTTTGGGGTGCACGACTTCAACACTGTTGCTATGAACAGTGTGAAGTCGTGCAGGGGGGTTCGACTTCTTCATTTGAAGTCGTTTGGACCCCCACGACTTCACTTTTAGTCAATTTTTGCCTACTTTGGTAATAAATACCACATTTTTGCCTACTTTGGTAACAAAGCCTGAATCAACAGACAAGAAACCAAATCATTATAATATATATATATTGTTAAAAAATTTATCTCATTAAACTTGTTTAGTATAGAAAAATAAGAATTATATAATAAGAAAAAATATCAAATGTTATTATGCAAAAGTTATAAATGTCACACATGACTACTAACCTAATCCCAAGACCAACATGCCCAATCTTGAAAATGGCAACACAGCACCACCGTTGATGGCCATAACAGGCACAGGAACTGCTTGAATTGAAATGGGTGCGCTATCAAAAAATAGATTTAGATGCTCGTCTAATTATCTCTTTGTTTTGTATTTCATTAGCAAATTTTTATTTTGATTGTTCTAAAAATTTAACGACCACCTAAGTCCAATCTCCAATTTAATGGAATTAAAAGTAAAATTAATTAATATCATATTTCCCACAGATTAAAAAAAAACAATACAACATAGGCAGCTTTAAAGTATAGAGACATTAACATGTATAGCAGCAGACTTTACCATAACTAATACTATTGTTAGAAGATCATGAGAACTTACTAAATGTAAAAAAAAAAACAACTAACGGTAAAAAGATCTGCACATTACATTAGCAAACATTTTCTTAGACATGATACATTCAATAAAGTTCAAGCAAACTTAATTAAATGATAAGCGGAATTTATTATATAAGACTCGTAATTTAACGAAACCTAGACAAACACGACTGATTCCTCCTGCCAACTTCTGAGTTTTCTCTTATTCTGGGATTTCTATCAAATATATTTTTTAAACTAGTAAAATTTTAATGCAGCCAAAGCATACGATACTAAAACATGTTTATGCATATTCTGTACTAACTTCTTGTAATAATACAATGCAATCTTTATACAGTGACAGGGAAGAACAACACGCGAGGATACATCAAAGCTAACAACATCACAAACCGATACATAAAAGAACGGAAATCTTTATTTAAAGAGCCATATTATTTTCCTTTTTCAAACGATACTACTTTAGCAACAAAGTCTTAATCCTTTTCACCAACTTGCATAGATAAGGCAGACAAGATCTTTACGCAGCAGCATTAACAGCGTGATTACCGGCATCGTTTTCCACAAAATCCTTTAGATACTGCTGTCTGCGCATCGAAATCATACTATGAGGTTTGGCAAAAAAGCATGTGTTGTTTCCCTGACTAGTTAATTTATCAAGTCATACCTTGCTGGGAGATGGTCATTTGGGCGATTGTGTGGAGTCCAAACTGGCTCACCAACAAAAAATCGCAGTGCCTGCAGATCATAAAATAGTAAGAAGCCTGAACTCAGAAAAGTTAACATAAGAACGCTTGAGAGTGCACATTAATTGCCGGAAAATAACAAAATTAAGCTTGTAAGATATCATATTTCAAGTTGCCATAGTCCTCGATCCTAGATATAGCAGCCAACTCAAGATCCCTATAGCCGTTACAGGATTCTGGATAGATATCCGAATGCTACAATGAAAAATAATAGACAGAAAGAAGACAAACACTTCATCACCTATACTAGATATACAAATTCTTTTGATAATTATCCAAGTTACATCTTAATCTTAACATATCTACAAGAATGCAACTATTTTTTTTTTTTGCACCCATGTGCTCTTTCCTTAAATTTATATACACAAATAGACTCACAAAAAGCGTTCCAAATAGCACAGGACAATGTTATAATATATTCTGAGAACCAAGTTCAAAACATCAAGTTCGCAAACAATGGGATAGAGGAATGAAAGTATAAGAACATAGAACTTTTCCATTTGCAACAGAAAAGTAAAAGTACAAATTCTCTCGTAAACATGCAACCAATACCTTAATGTAGTTGCTCTCATCTAGGGTAAAGCGATGATAAATTCCAGCAGGTAAGATGATCATTCCTCCTTTCTTGACCCACACGCGAATCCAAGCATCATTTCGATCCCTGACATCAAAATAGCCTAAACAAAAGCAGTGTATTTTAGCAACTTAACAGGGTACGGAGGCAAGGAAATCAATCAAAGTCAACTTCAGAATTAGTCTGTACCACTTCCAGCAGCACAAAAGCGGATTTCCTCATCAGTGTGAAGATGCTCTTCAAAGAAGCTTTTGATTTTCTGTTCATAATTTGGCAACTTTTCTGGGCAGACCTCACAAACATCCTGAAGAAAACGTGTGACGGGTTAAATTATAAAAAACATAATCATAATCAGGATGTCAAAATGAAACGTGTTAGACATGAAATAAAAAAATTTTAAATGTTAACTTTTGCGTACAAAAAGCACAATGTTTGAAATAAAAAAAGTATAGCAATTATTTTGCATATTGTTTATTTCTCTGCATGAGTTTATTTACTGAGTAGAACGAAAGTTAATTCTAAACAACTATAAGGAAACATTAGTATAACAAACCATGTAAGTGTAACCACGTTCTTCACGAATCTTTTTCAGCTCTGGATCAGTCTCATAGTTATCAGCATCTAGTTTCCAGCTAAGAACTCCAAGTTCTGCAATTTAAAAAACAAACCAAAGATCATTCGGATGTAAAGCTCTTAATCTGCACATAAATTTAATAAACACATGCAGCAAAACTTACCGGCAAGTTGATCGAATGAGACAAACTCTTTGGGTTCTTTGTGGTGGGGTAGTCTTTGATCTTCATCACTATCATCCATGTACCATGCTTGAAGGACTTCCTCTCGTGGATCCTGTGAAAAAAAGAATAACATTTGATTGAAGAGATTTCTCCATATTTTTGAATGGGGAACTCATACAACCTCTCCACAGCCACAAAAGTCACAGCAACAACCGAATTGCACCCTTTTTTCTAATTTTTTTTTCTAAGTAACTATTTTTCTCTTTGAGCGCATATAGATCCTTAGATTATGTATCTCCAAGTTTCTTTTCCAGTATTATTAGTATCTCCAAGATCATTATAAGTATTGTAATTCTTAAAAAAAATAAATGTATTATTCAAAATGACTACACGTTTGGCTTTTACAGAACAAATTTGATAATTATCTGATTCATGTTTTCTACCCAGTTGTTTCAATTTGTTCATACATTTGTATTATGACTATTGAAGAACTTTATTACACATCTAACTGATTAAGAATATAATTGTAATCAGAAAGCACTTAACATTTCAAATAGAGAACAGTTGGCTCTAAAAATATCATCACACCAATGCTATGATATCGCATAAGACATTTAGACAAAAAGTAAGTTCTCTACGAGCAGGAAGAATGATAGTTAGCATCCAATTTTTGCAACCAAACTCCGAACCTACTACCCATTCAGATCCACATCAAACCCGCTCATCCTTGGGTGGTGAAAAGTAAGTAAACAACCAATTAAGAGTTCATTATTTCGAACCTGACACACAGCATCCTTAAGACTTTCTGCAAATTACCCAAACCCTCTCACAGCATCCTCTAATTGCTTAAATTAAATAAATCTGGTTGTTTCAAAATTCCTAGGAATTATGTTGGTAACACGTGGCCCCTGTTTTTTCCTCAAATTTGCATGTAACAAATCACGAAAATGCCACTTATTCCTCTTGAAAACTAAAAAACCCACATAGACAAACAAATAGGAAAACTTGAATTCAAATAACAGACTAAGATTTTTAACATAGTTGCTCACGATTAAATCTGCGCTCAATTATCAAAAGCAGATGAAAACAACGAGTATTTCTTTACGATAAAAGGCAGTATTTACTGATTAAAAAATGAGGATTTTGAAAAGTTATAAAAGGAAAGTTGGAGGATTACCTTGACAGAGGAAACCATGGTGACAACGAGTTTGCTTACAGCTTGTTCCAGGCAATGTTTTTTCAATGAGATTTCTGCAAACCTACGCTTAATGCCCACGCCAATTATAAACCCTTCAATTGCATCGCGATTTTACCAAAATACCCTTTTCTGGTGTAGGAAAAAAGTGTTGCCTTTTTTTAGTTTTCTATCAAGTCCTAGAAAGTGTTTTGTAATTATCGATGTGGCAAAATAATTTTATAGTAATAAAAAACAGTTAATATAATTAAAAAATATTTCCAGTAACAATATGATTTTTAGTTCATTTATTTCAAACACAATATAATAGCACAATAAAAAATAATTATCACAATTTTAAGAATAAAATTACAGAGGTGTATCCTATCAATTGTTATATATAAATGTATTTTTTCAATTAAAAGTAAAAATACCAAATAAACCTAAATCGCTTTTAACTTTAGCGTCTTCATCTATTTTCGGTTTTCTTCTTCTCCAAAAACAAAAAACACGTGCATATAATCTACTTGTTGTACACGTAGGATAGTAGGATAAAGTATTGTAAAATACATTTTCTATTTTTTGGATCAACGTTATTATTTTAACGCTGTGATATTATCGAAAATTCCGTGTTTCATTGTTGCTTTACGGCGGTGAGAGTTCACGATGGTCACTGACGACGTGTTCTAAGGACTTTGGATTGCTATAGGTTAAACCTATCGGACTTAGAGGTCCAGCGAACTGGAACTATAAATTTATTATTTTGAATTAATATTTAATTATATTTATTTATATTTTTTTATTATTGTTTGAGTAGAATCTATTTAGGATATTATATTTTTGAATGAGATAATGGTGAATGAATAGTGTTAGACAGAGAATGAGAATGATTCTTGTTAGAACTAAATAAACTTTGAAATGAAAGACACCAGTGATGAGTGAAGCCAATGTAATTTTAGGTATTAGAATTATAAGATGAGAGATATAGTATATTACTATCACAAGAACAATACGTTGAGAAACTTGTTAAGAAGTTTGGATTTTATGACCTAAAACCAGTGAGTATCCCTTATGATGCTAAATCTAAATTAATGAAAAATAGAAGAGAATCATTATTTCAGCCTCAGTATGCCCAAATAATTGGGAGCTTATTACACTTGATGAACTTTTTTAGACCTGATATTGCTTATGTAGTAAGTAGACTGAGTAGGTACACTCAATATCCTAATCAAGAACATTGGGATGCACTTTCCAGGCTTATGAGATACTTAAGAGGTTCAATGGATTATGTCATTGAATATAGTGGATTTTCCGCTATAGTAGAAGGGTACAGTGATGCTAACTGGATATCTGATTCAAACGAGACAAAATCCACTAGTGGTTATGTATTCACACTTGGGAGTGGTGCGATTACACGGAGATCAGCCAGACAAGCAATTATTGCAAGATCAACAATGGAATCTGAGTTTGTTGCTCTTGCGATAGCTGGTAATGAGGCTGAGTGGTTGAAAAACTTCTTAGCGAACATTCCCCTAGGAATGAAACCAACCCATCGGTATCAATACATTGTGATTGCCAATCAGCAATAGCTATAGCTAAAAACAAGAATTGCAATGGAAAGATTAGACATATTCAATTGAGACACAATTTGGTGAAGCAGCCTGCTAAAGAGTGGAACTATTTCCATTGACTTGTGAAATCAGAACGGAATCTAGCAGATCCTCTGACAAAACCCTTGGGAAGAAATATGATCTTAGAAACATCGAGGGGAATGAGACTTAAGCCACTGGCAAACAAACAAATGATGGTAACCCAACCTTTGTGATTGGAGATCCCATGAATAAGGTTCATATGGGTAAAAACAAGACACTTGTTAGTTTTGATAGCACTAATTTGATTTTAAATCAAACATGTCCATTCCTATGGTGTGTGTGAAAGTGCTAGAGACTGCATTATTGAGAGGCTAAACTTTGTTATTAAAATTCTATGTGGTGAAATAATTTTAGTTTAAACAAAGTTTTTAATGATTTTCATATCCCTTATGGGTGTTGTATGATTTGCAGCATACACTTGATGAAATCACCTATATGAGTGTCAAGTGGGGCCGCTTGCATGAGATCTTGGCATGATCTCTAGAGCACTCATGAATACCGGGCACGCGCATGGTCTAGTAAGCGCATCACAGCGATAACAACAAGGATTGTGGGGGTGTACTGTGATTGATAAACTTCTAACACACTCAAGTATCTTTGGTTCATATAGCTTGCTATACCAACTATACTGTGTGTTAAGTTTCTCGATCTAGGACTGGGTCATATAGCTTACTATACCAGCTCTGATGCATTATATCTTGTGAAACCCAAAATAATTTCTTTTCTCTTTCGTTTGGATATATATTTTGCAATATGTGGGGGGTTGTTGTACACGCAGGATAAAATATTGCAAAATACATTTCCTATTTTTTTGGATGAACGTTATTATTTTAACGTTGTGATATTACCGAAAGTTTCGTGCTTCATTGTTGCCAACGTTCTTTTGTTTTTGTTTGCAACGTTCATATTATTAAAAAAATCTTTTCTCAAAAGATATTTTGTTATATATTTTGGATCATGGGCCTGATTCACCAACTCTATAAATAGAGCACTTCCTTCACTCCAAAAGAATATCATGAGAAGTTATTCCTCTCTCATTTTCTCTTCTCTTAGTTTCATTCTTTCTCTTTTCTTCTTTTTCTAAAAAGATTTTGGGTTTATTTTTATTCTCTTTTTAAGAAATCTTTGCTAGTTCTGAGATCCTCAGAAATTCTGAGAAGTTCCTGTTGTATCCTGGGAGATTTGCGCAATACACCGCGGATAAATCGATCTACATGCCTCAGGAAATTCTTTGTTCATAATCTTTGTTCTCTGTTGTCAGCTTATAGAATACTCAAAATGTTTTTTAAGACTAGAGGAACTTTTTGTTGAAAAGTATTCTTCTAAAACCAAAAATTAAAAAGGTTGTGTTTATTACGTCTTCAGGTAACATTCTTATTTTATTTTTATTATATTTTTCGTACATTATTATAACTTTTATTTGCAAGAAATATACTAAAATATTAACTTATTTGTGATTTGTGGTATAGCGCGTATTTATGGGTCACACTGTTAACAACGACAAAAAAAATACTAATTATGTTTTTTATATAGTTTTTTGGTTTTAATATGTATATTTTCTATTAGCTTTCTTTCTAACTTCTATATTTATTTTTTTCACATTGTTACGAATGAATTTATAAAAAATTCTGTCGTAGTATCATTCACATTACTTGTTCTCCTCTTTTCAACTAAATTTTTTCTCACTGTTTTCTTTATCATTGCTGTAAACAGTCACAGTCACCTGCATCGCCTTATTAATGTACCGACATTTTGAATGCTTTTTATTTAATAAAATTAAATGAATCAAAAACTTTATTTCTCATGCATCACATGGTAACTATACGATAATCCTTAAAAGAAATTACAAAGTTTGATAGTTATTTGTTTTCTAAAAAATGATTTTTCAACATAAAAAATAATATAATTAAATAATAATTCGATTATTAAAAGAACAAAAAGGATTTTTCGAGGCAACGTATAAACGTGATTGAAAATAAGGAGATGCAAAGATGGCACCATCTTGGAAAGAAAAGTCCTTATTTCTTTTTATTAATAAATGTCGAAGCATGCGCTATACAAATTTATAAAATTTAATCAACAATAAATTGAAAGCTCAACGGTTAAAGAAATCTTCAAAAACTCCCTTCACACCACACGTGTTTACATACCTTATGTTACGTGTAAGTATGTAATTTGACACTTTTTAAGACATGTTTCATTAAATAAATAAATAGAAAAAAAAAGAAATGATAGAAACACTTTTTAGTGTGTTTAGTAAAATAAAAGAAACAAAGGTTAATTTTCTTTTCTTTTTATCAATTACAAAAAAATGAAAGGAAAAAAAAAGTATACATATACATTAACAACATAAGTTTCTCTATTACAGATTTAAAAAGAGTAATACTTAAAATAACGATAACTTAATCATTATACACTTGTTTAGTAAAGATTATATTGTGGGAATTGGGAGATTAAAAGGTGTGTCTGGAATTTCAGCTACATATTTTCAGAACGTGAATTTGTGAGTAACTTTTTTTTATAGAACTTGCTTGTATCTTATTCATTCTTTTTTTTTTTTTCTTATCAAACCAAACGATAGAATATCTACAAAATTTGAACTTTTCTGTCTGCTATTCTCAGAATATAATACTTTCATTTGTTAAACGAGTTGACGCTCTTACCAGTAAATATACTTTCCTTGCTAGTGAAACGTTCTTATGAAATGAATTTCAGATATCCTACAATTCAAAACATCCTTTTGAGACTTAAAAAGCTCAATTAAACTATTATTTATAATTTCAACTTTCAAAGTAGGAGAAATGTTTCAAATATTAACAAGGTTATTTTATGAAGAACACGGTAGACATTTCTTTTTTCTCTATACAATATAGATGGTTCAATTTTAACATCGTACATAAATTAGTTATATCAATTTTTTAATATTTTCTTCCATCTATTTTTATATACATTCTACAGGTCAACTTATTCTATCTAAATATATTTAATGGAACTACACATGAATTAATACTAATTCAAGAAAGATGCTTTAAAACATAAAAAAAAAATAGTATATATGATTAAACATTTGCCATGAAATATAAATTATATATACGGAAAGCTTTTAGTTTATAAGTAAAATCTTATACACCTCTCTCTTCTTCCCTTTTTCTTTCTATCTTTCTCTCTTAATTATAACTATTCATATTTGAATAAATCACCTTGGATAGTACTGTCTTTTAGGATGGAGAGAAATTTGGGTCAGAATGGGTTGCCAATATAGCCGGCTATGCATATTCCAAAGCTCTAGTTTCTAATGCTATTGATATTTCCTGCGAAAAATGAAGGGCATGTCTATGTTAGAAGAAATAAGGCTAAAGTAGAAAACAAAAAAAATAAAAATTGATTGGAACCAGACAACAAACAAAAAGGTATAGGCGTAAATTTTAAACATCTCATGCTGACACATAATAGTATATGCTAAACATCTGCTTTTTCACTATCTACGTTGATGCAATAAAAGAGTGTTCTTCTAGAAGAGTCATCCCCGTATGTTGTTACTGTTGTTCTACTGATATATTTTGTTATACGATATATTCATTTTGTTGTAGGTTACCCTTCCAAGTGCTGTTTTTCAATGGTGGGATCCAGCAAACATGTAAATAATTCACATTGAGATAAAGTGAGAGAGATTGGAAGAGTCATACTAATCTATTCCTTCATTATTTCCTAATTAGTTTCGACAACTTTCTCTTCATTATTTTTTCTCTACCGTAAATAGGTTCATCTCTGACTTGCCACTAGATATTAAAGATGAACTTAAAATCACAAACGAGCATTATTAGAGTTGGTGCTTCCATACCCAAATGTGGACACCAACTCTTAAATTTAGGAAACCAAAATTAGAGCCAGAGCAACTCGGACATACAATATTGCACACATACATGAAGTTAAAATATTATGAGAGTGGAATGGAACCCTATAGATCCTCAATATCTATCCAAGTCTATCATTAGATCAAAATAAAAATCATTTACCAAAACCGTTAACTTGCCTGTGGTTTTGCAGTCTTTGAGAATAAGCAACTTGATGTGATTGCCTGTCCATGATCTAAAAGCCATCCCACTTCGCTCAGTGTTTCACCTTCCTTGCTTTGTTTAAGTGAACACCACAGCTGCTTAGGAAGTAATATGTTGCTGTCTCCATCTCTGACAGAGTCCTGTACTTTCTCATCAAAAAGCTCCTGAAAGATCCCCTGTAATTAAAAAGAAAGATCATGGCAATGAATCCAATAAACAAGGACAATCCAGATTGCAAAATATAAAGGGTAATAAAGGAGATCCTTGCACTCACAGTATTTGAAGTGCTAACACTGGCGACAGCAGTAGATCCCTTCCAGATACCAGCAACATCGGAAGCAATCATGGGTGCGGTAGCAGCAAAGGCAGAATCACGCATAGCACAACCTCCTAGTTGATCACCATTTCTGAATGGCCCATACCATCGCTCACGAAATACTCTAATACCCTGTAGCACCATCTCTGTGTTATTTAATACATGGATAAACTGTATAACTCTAACCCGAGATTCACAATCTTGAGGATTGACCATGCAGCACTCAAACTCTAGTAAGTTATCTTTCTTTTGCCAGACAGCAACATAAGAACCACTGGATTGGTAAGCAAAGGCAGTAAGTCCACTATTTCCTTCTCCCACTTTCCTTTCATCCACGCTGTACTGCGTAGCAGCATCAGCCTCGCATCCCACAGTTGGAAGTAACTGAATGGATTTATATTGAAGAACACGTTCATTTGGTTCAGCAAGAGTGGGGCACTGAGTCTGCCAATCGAATACTTTAACTTCCCACTCCCGGTATGTTTCAGGCACCACGGACTCGGGTAGTTCAATTGCCTTTCCTTCATTACTGAAGTCTGCTCCAAATCCATCCCACTCACCAGAGACTCTAATCGCGAATTGAGACCAGGCTTCAATACTTGGGTCCCACACCGTGGAAGTAGTTCTTCTTCCATCCTACATGGAATAGCCAAATTGGTATCCAACTACTAAATATAGCATGAATTCTAAACAAGACAAAAGAAGCATAAATTTACATAATCATGCACAATATACATTACCAAACTGGGGGGATAGGCTGGTTAAATCAATAGAGCAACACCACCCACAAGTTACAGGGTCACAATTCACAATTATTTTTGATAAAAAAGAAAAGTGAGGACCCATGTTGATCCTTCAAAAATATAGGCTACATCACACAAGTCCTCTACTTATATCACATGCGTGTCTTCAAATAAAAAGTTATATACCACTGGTTTCACTCTTCAAAGATCAGCCTGAGCAATAATCTGATAATAACAGACCAAATTGATGCCGTGTATATACCTGTGGTGAACCAATTGGAAGACCATTATAATGATACGTGTATCTTTACTCTTAAGATTTCCAAAATGTACACTTGCTCAAAAACTAATCCCTGCAAGATATGACAACACGAAACGGAAAGGCGAGAAACACACTGAAAGGTGCCCCTACTCTTACTTGGTAAGAATCTGTTTTTCGGATTGGACTATCAGTTTCAACAGTTGCTTCTTCAGCATCTTGATTGACTGCACGCATCAAAGTTCTCCTGTTTTCAGATTCAAACTTACTCACAACTTCAGTAATAAGAGTATCAAATAACACAACAATAAGGGGCTACATTTGGACACCAAAATAGTAAGATTAAAAATAACAACTTAAAATAAACTGTTTTTTGGCACCAAAAGTATCTCCAACAAATCGCTGGAGAGTAATTCCTTTCAATAGGTAGAGATTCCCGAAGTGCTTTTTATCAATCCATGCACATGGTCAAGAAAGGAACCCTGACAAAATGCTTAAGAAGCTAAGTTATTTACTTGCTAATACTTATAATAAACTTTAGATACATTAACATGTCACACTTTCACTCCAATCAAGCACGCCCCAGAAGTTGAAACAATTCCCAAATTGCTACCAAGTTGAAAAATCTCAATAAAAACAGGCTCAGATAGCAAATCCAATACCTCCTCCTCCAATTGAAGGGAAGTCCCAGCATCCCAGAAACCCCAAATTTTCGATTATATGGCACTGAGACCTAAATTATAGACAGATAACAATTTTAAGCATAAAGCGCAAAAGCAAGGAGGTAGAAAGAGCAGAAGCATGAAGCAGAGGTAAGGAGAAAAATACAAGTGGATAGGATGAAGATGAGGAAGGGTGTGGTTGAAGGAGGCATGAAGATGGTGAAGTGGTGTTTGTCACAGAGAAAGCAGCCATTTGTGGAAGGAATCAGAGAGAGCAGAGTTGGCTACTGAATGGCTTGGCCTATGATGGGTTAATCACCAAACAAAGAAATTCAATAATATTATCCTTTATATTACCTCAATTCTTAATTTTCAATACTTTCAACAATTCTTAATTTACAAAATATCCACCAATACCTGTCTATAACGATCAATATTTGAAAATAAATAATAATTTTTTTTTTTCATTTCAGAGAATAATTTTTTGAAAAATTATATATTTCACTATTTCTTTTATCTATTTTATCGTAGTACTGTAATGTCTAATTAAAATGTTATTTTATTCTTAACATCATAATTAGGAGTGAAAAAGTAAAGGTTATTACGGAGATAGGTTATTTTGCAGTTCGTCAAATTTTGATAAATTCAGTAGGTATTTTTAAATTGTCAGTTTACTTCTTCTTTTTCGTCTAATTTATTAAATTAACATGATAGGAGGGATTGACTACCTAGTTTTTTTTTTATAATTTTTTTTAAATCCAACTTTTAACATACTAATGATGAATCAAATTAAAATTTTTCACATGGAATGCTATTTCTACACTCGATTACTTTTTAAGCCATACCTTTGTAGAAATTCATACAATAATTTTGGTATTTTCGTAATATATTGGATTGAGTGTATTTTGAATCGTGACTTTATTTTTATATAGTGCATTTAAAACTATATGCACAGTCGCTTCATGGGACTTTTAGAATTCCTTTAATTCTGAGCGCCAAGAATGGAAAACAGGCTATATAGGTAGCAGATATTTAATTAGAAAGTATATTTACGCATGGTAATGGTATGATATAAGAAAATGTTGGAACTTTTGAATTATTTCAATAGTTTACGTAGTTTAGATAAAAAAGGATAAGTGTTTTGTAGAAGTAATTCATTTGTATTGTATCCCTTAGAGCATGAGAAAGTAGATTTTGACGTTAATAAACAGAAGTAATTCATCAATATATTAAAAAAAAGAAAAGTAAATCATTTTAGATGAGTCAATATTGAATTGTACTTCCATTATATATTTATTATTATTATTATTATTATTATTATTATTATTAAGAGATGGGTAAAATCTATTGTAAGATTGAAAGTTTTTATATATAAAAATATATTGTATATAAATCCAAACGAATGTTATTTTTTGAAATATATTAGAATATTAACAATTTCATTATTTTATTATTTTTTAGAATTCATTTACACGTGTCCTGCTTTAACTTTAATGTAAAATCTTAAATATATATATATATATATATATATATATATATATATATATATATATATATATAAATATATATATATATATA